GGGGGGGGGGGGGGGGGGGGGGGGGGGGGGGAGGAGGCGGTGGTGGGGAGACGGGTTGGCAGGGGAGCGGGGGCGGCGAGGATTCTGAACTCACCTGGGTCAAAGAAGGCACGAATCTGAGCAGCAATGCAGCTGTCGTGGCGGAGCAACGCAGCTGTCTTTGGGGTCGACGCGAAGGTGACATTGCACCGGCCTTTTTTTTGGGGGAGCGACGCAAGGGAAAGGACCCTTGGATCCTTCTACGGAGCCCATTTTAACAGTCGCGGACGGCACCGGCAGCCGAATCGTCGCCCCCCTTGGCATCGACGCCCACTGCGGCACCAGTTCTCCCCTCACCCGATTATGGCCCTTAGCCGACGGATCGACGATCCAGACTTTCCCAGGATTCGAATCGTCGCCCGCTGGGCCCGATTCTCACCGCGGCACTCGTTTTCCCCGCACCCGATCCTGGCCCTCAGCCGACGGATTGACGGCCCAGACTTTCCCGGGATTCGAAACGTCGGTCCCACGACACTGATCCCCCCGAGGCACCGGGTCCCAAACCCACACCCCGCAGGCCGCATTCCCTCTCAGGCCTTCCACAGAAAGTATAAATAGTGGTGTCGGCCCACCATTTCCCATTTCTGCAAGTTCGTCGAGAGCAAAGGAGCGTCGCGGAGGTTCGCAAAGCGTCCGAAGCCGGCGGAGCGTTGACTCGCACATCGGAGGCTCGCGCAGCACGCAACGAAGATCTCGCTCGCACATCGGAGGTTCGCGCAGCATCGGAGTGAAGTTCAGAGCATCCACATCGAAGGCAGCAGCGGAGGCCTGGGAGAACGGTAAACCACCGTAAATCAACCACGTGCTGCCACGTGGCATCTCCACCCATGTAGAGGCCGCCGTCGAGTCGAACTCGACGGGGGCATTGTCGAGTCGAACTCGACAATGGCCCGAGGTCATCGTCGAGTCGAACTCGGCATTGGCCTGTGGTCATCGTCGAGTCGAACTCGACAATGGCCTGCGGTCATTGTCGAATCGAACTCGACAATGGCCTGTGGTCATCGTCGAGTCGGACTCGACAATGGCCAACCCGCCGCCATCGAGTCGAACTCGACAGCCGGCAAGTAGGGCGTCGTCGAGTCGAGGTCGACAGTGGCCAGTAAGGCGTCGTCAAGTCAAACACGACCACCGACAAGAACCAAAGCCTCCGGCCACTGTCGAGTCCGACTCGACGATGACCTTGGGCCGTTGTCGAGTTCGACTCGATGATGACCACAGGCCGTTGTCGAGTTCGACTCGACGATGACGACAGGCCAATGTCGAGTCCGACTCGACGATGACCCCGGGCCATTGTCGAGTTCGACTCGACGAAGACCACAGGCCATTATCGAGTCCGACTCGACGATGAGCCCGGACAATGTCGAGTCCGACTCGACGATGACCCCGGGCCATCGTCGGGTCGGTCTCGACAATGTCGAGTCCAACTCGACGGCCTCGGTTCATCGTCGGGTCGGTCTTGATAATGGCGCGACGAAATCGTCGACAGCCTGGGGTCATCGTCGTGTCGGACTCGACAGTGGCCGGAGGCTTTGGCGCGTGCCAACCGTCGTGTTCGACTCGACGACGCCGTACTGGCCACTGTCGACTTCGACTCGACGACGCCCCATTATCGAGTCGGACTCGACAATGGCCCGTGGCTTTGGCGCTTGCCGCCCTCGTTTTGGACTCGATGGCCCCCTGCTGGCCACTGTCGACTTCGACTCGACGACGCCCTACAGTCCCATCGTCGAGTTCAGCTCGACGACGGTGGGCTGGCCATTGTCGTGTCCGACTCGACAATGGTCAAAGGCGTTGGAGCTGGCCGGCTATCGACTTCGACTTGACAGTGGCCAGCCGGCCCTTGTCGAGACGAGCTCTACGAACTCGACCTTCGGCAAGCGCCAAGGCCTCTGGCCATCCGTCTGAGCTTTGTCGATTGTCCGTCATCGACCTTGTCGCGACGAACGTGACGATGGATAGCGGCGGATGGAATTTGTCGTTCTGTGCGTTTTCTCCTTCTGTTTTGGAAATTCGCAATGCCTGGTTGTTGTGTGTAACTGCGATGGCTCCTCGGTGTGTGAACGAGTTCGACCTTAGCAATGGCTCCCTGTTGTGGTCGTCAACCGTTTGTGTTTGTAGGACATTTACGATGGCTCACCGCTTCGATTACTCGTTCCTTTTGAATGCTAGCGCGAGGTACATACGAGGTTCAAGGCGGGAGACAGCTGTACTTGGGGCCCGTAGAGAAGACTTCGACACGGACCCCTTGATGAGTGTTATGCCCTGGCTTGAAAGGCTCTTCGATGCATGGCCCGAATTAGACTGGGAGAACACAATCAAAGACTGCCCTTGGACGTCTGATTATCGATTAGCATCCAGCCAGGAATGGGGGACATTCATCTTCCTCGACCACATCCTCGTGACGAAACACACGCCGGTGTTGTCTGCGGTATTTCGTACCCGAGACCTGTCTTTATCGTTGACTGCGCATAACGTGTCGTGTTCGCCACGCTTGTGGGGACCATCGATGAAGATGGAGTTGTTGGACTGCGTGAAACAGAACCAGTTTCTAGAGAAATATCCCCTTCCTTTCGAGGACAACTTGATGGGGAGTGTGTCGTACTTCTGTGTACATGTTGATCTCTGTCGTTTCTATTTCTCTAGGGTTCTTTGTGTTTCGGTAAGAAATAGAAGTAAGACTTCAGCCGAAGCAAGTATTTACGTGTCCAGGAATGAGCTCATCGTTGACGGGGACTCGATTATGTTACCGCATGGTTGGAGGAACAGTAAGTTTGACGTGAAACTAGCGGGGCAGGTTGACACACCCCGGTATTGGGAGGAGGTCAAGGAGTACGTGACGGTCATTAGAGACGCCATCGGTCACACATTGGCCAGATCATGTGGTTTCGTCCGTGCGCGATACGTGTCTTGCTTCTCCGCCACTGCAACCCTGTGTAGTCCACAGCTCCTAACGTACGGTTCATCCCTGAACGCAGTGTACGGTTTTAGGGCGAAAGGATAGGCGAGGTCGTGGGGGAGGTCATGGAAGAAGAACAGTGTAGGGTATGTCAGCTATTCAATTGTTCAGCAAAAGTGAAAACTGAGACTATGTATGCGTGTGAGCATTGAGTTTGATGTGAGCTTGTCGATGCCGGTTAAACCTCTCTCTCTCTTTCTCTCTCCTTATGTGTGTGTGTTTGTGGTTAGTAATCGGTGGAGCGTACAGTTAGTCGCTCGTTGCAGGTGCAGGTTGCCCGCCTTGCCAATTGAATGCCTCGAATTGATATTGGATGTAGGCTTTCAATTGATGTGCCTTGATTGGTGTGCCTTGTTGGTGACGCCGCTCCCTATTCAACGAAAGATGAACAGTGTGAGAAATGTGGGCTATTCAGCAAGAGTGTGAAATGAGACTGTGTGTATTATGGAAGCAATGGGTTTGATATGAAATTGTCGATGCCGGCTTTCGATTCGTCTGCCTTGCTTGATGTGACTTTTAGGTACGCCGCTCCCGTGTTCTGTTTGCCTGCTGTTGGATTCGCCGTCCCTTTCCCGTGTTCTGTTTGTCAGCCCGATCGAGTCGAACTGTCGCGCTGGCCCGCCACGTTCGAGTCGAACTCGATCGAGTCGACCTCCACCGACTCCAGCTCCATCGAGTCGACCTCGATCGAGTCCAACACGATCGAGTCCAACACGATCGAGTCGAACACGATGGTGTCGAACACGATCGCCTGGACTCACGATCGGATCGAACACGATTGCCTGGACTCACGTTCGCCTGGACTCACGTTCGAGTCGAACACGATCGCCTGGACTCCCGATCGAGTCGAACACGATCGCCAGGACTCACGATCGACTCGAACACGATCGAGTGGAACACGATCGAGTCGAACACGATGGAGTCAAACACGATCGCCTGAACTCACGATCGGATCGAACACGATCGTCTGGACTCATGATCGTCTGGACTCACGTTCGAGTCAAACACGATCGCCTGGACTCGCGATCGAGTCGAACACGATCGCCAGGACTCACGATCGAGTCGAACACGATCGCCTGGACTCACGATCGAGTCGAACACGATCGCCTGGACTCACGATTGACTCGAACACGATCGCCTGGAATCACGATCGCCTGGACTCACGATCGCCTGGAGTCAGGTTCGAGTCGGAAACGACCGTGTTGAATACGACACGCACACGAGCGTCTGGACTTACGGTCGAGTTCAGTCGAGCTCAACAACCGCAATCGAGTCAAACACGATAGAGCTGGCTTGTCACGCTCACGCCGAACAAGATCATGTTGACCACGGGCACGATCACGATCGAATTGAACACGATCGGGACTGCCTTGTCACGAAGGGGCTGCGCTGCCTTATCACTATCTGAAACTTTTCTGCTCCTCGTGCCATGCCAACGTTGTGCGGCCTTCTGATTTTTTGCTTCACGGTGATGTGCTGTGTTGCTTTCAGATTCGGCAGCGCCGCAAAACATGGAAGGAGAGGGGAAGGCAAGTAAACGACGAGCAAGTAAGAATTCTGGGAGCATGGAACAATCTCCGAAAAAATTGAAGGGGACGCCGGCCGCTGGGGTTTGGAGTCAGGAGGCACCGGGGTCTAAGCGGCAATGCACCCCGGTTCCGAGGGGTGCACCTTCCACGGGCACTCCGTCGACTCATGTTCGGGGCTCTGGACCGGATAAGGCTGTGTTGATGACTGGCGGGCCTGCGGGTCAGGAACGTATGTCTGGTTCGCAGCAGGGGAGATCTGCAGTGGAGGTTGTGCCCGGATGTAAACCTTCTGGAGAACGTAGACCATCTTTCGAACGTAAAGCGTCTGGTGAAACGACTGCTGCGGGTCGGCGAGACGATGTGCCCGTGATTGACCACAAGAACAAGTTCTGGATGCTGGACTGGGTGGGGGAGACCGGACAACCATCGAGTGGCCTTGTTCTGTACGTGGTCATCAAAGACAATATTGTGCCGGTTGGGGGCCTTGTGAGGTGGACTGGACAAAATGTGTCGTCTGCAACTTTCGAGTTGACGATGGTCCTGAATGGAAGAGGGGAAAGAATACCAAACATTAAACACGTCGCTCTTCGATGGGCCAACCACGCGGGGTTCGGAAAGTCGCTGGTTGATGTGTTCAACCCACCAGGGACATTGACAGTGAAGTTGCCTAACCTCGTTGATGTCCTCGGGTTTCTTGACAGTAATGTGATCGCGGGCAGAGAGCCAGTTGTGCATCCAGAGGACCGCATATCAGAGCCTAAATGCGTGTTTTTGAAAACCGTGGAGACAGGGTCTTCGATCACGATCCCCGATACGCTGCCTGGTCCGAAAGCTCGGCAGATCGGAGAGAAGGGTCCGTACTGCGGACTGGTTGGACAGGATGAAGACAATGAGCACACTATGAGAGAATTGGGTGGGGAGGTTGGTCTGGCAGGAGGATATGGGAGCAGCTACGAAGGATGTGAGGGGGATGTGCACGCGACAGTGGTTGTGGCTGGGCATACAGATGTTGCAGGGCTCGCTGAGGGAAAGAGGAAGCACAGGCGAGAGAGGAAAAGTCCAGCGAACACGGGAGACTGAGGCAATAAATGGAGGCGGTCCAGCGAACACGGGAGACTGAGGCAATCGCGAAGAAAAAGCAGCAGCCAAAGAAAAGAAAGGCAAAAGGTGGTGTCATGGAAAAGACTTCCGTTTTTCCAGCGGAACAACCRCAATCGGATGAAGAGGCCAAAGGCAAGACAGTTACTAGGCCGCCAAGTTTGAGAAATGTGCCATCAGTGACTTCTTCTGGTGTTCTCAGCAAAGGCTTCTTCCTTGAGTTGGACGAGCGTGGGAATCAATGTCCAGACATGGAATTCATTTATGTCCAGTTCAACCGAATTCTGGATATCCCCGACGGGGAATTCAGATACAATCAACGCTATCTTGTGCAACAGACGGTTGACGACATTTATGACGCAATGGTTGCATCGGGTGAGGATGCTATGAGAGAGAGATTGATTGGAGCTGCCGGTATGAATGTTTGTACATTGTATGAGAAGACTGTCCTTTTGTTAGTTGCCCTCCGTGATACATTGCATACTGACGCTTCAGGGAGGATTGTGAGAGCAAGGAGGGTGCTGCCCGATGATTTCGACCTCGAATTTGTGAACAAGTACTACTATTACCCTCTCAGCGGTCAGCATATCGTGGCAGCGGCAAGAAGGTGTTTTGTTGAATGCCCTGACATCGCACAAGAGCTCCGATTGGATCGCTGGACCGCGAGGCCTGTTTGTTATCCAGATAAGAGCATGAACAATTACGGCACGTTGAGCACTTTCCAGAATGCCAAGGACAAATGGAATACCCCGCCACACCAGATCGTGGTTATCCAGAACATACGGAAGTTGTGGCACAAGTCGAACGGTCCTGAAGCTAAAGGCGGCTCAGCGACAGAAGTGAAAAATGCAGAGTATAAAAAGTTTGCAGGAGAGGCTCTTCGTTTGATCGGGATTTGTAATTTGATTGACATGTCTCTTACTACTCAATGGAGCGGCCAGTGGTCTAATGCCCTCGGGCCCTACATGTTGTTGGCAAAGGCAACAGATGACGTTGTCGAAAAGGTGAAACAAGTGTACGCCGCTTGGGAAGCTGGACAATTGTCGGGGAGAGATGCTGTGAAGCCTGCTACCAAACAAGGTGAATCAGGGAAGGCACCGAGGGTTGGATCCGGATTTGAGTTGAAAGGTGGAGTTACGTATCCGGTTCACTGGTTTCAGGGTACCAAAGGACCTGGTTACCTCGTGGCTGTGCACGATCCGGATATCAGAGCGTGGAAGCCTTTTTCAGCCCTTGGGAGGCGTGAACGGCTGCAACTGTTGCGAGACATTCTCACAGGTAGTGTGAAACTGACTCCTAAGCAAAGTGGAGCTGCTCAACGTGTCGGGAAACATTCAACGGAAACATATGTGGAAATGGTGAAGATTGAAAGAGCAATATTGAGGATGTTTCACTACTTCGTCTTCATTTCTGACCCTCACAGGAAGTCGTCAGAGTGGACGGAACCATTCTTCAACAACCTTTCTGATTTGTTTGATAAGTACTCTGATGAAGGATTGACGTCTGAGAGGTGGATCGACCAGCGTCGCCATTTCAAAGACATGAGTTGGGTGTGAACCTTCCCGGCTACACTTGGAGGAGAGGAGGAAAAAGGAGAAAAGGGCTTCAAGAAAACATCGTCACTTGCTGCGAAGTGCCCAGAAGAGTTCGTGCAGTTTGTCAACAAGTTGTTGCTCAGATCAGAAACCAAGGGTTCGGAAAGCATAAGAATGTCGGGCTCGGCGTAATATATATATTTCAAAAGACAGAACGTGAACTCTGTTTTCGTCCCATTCCAAGGGGAACCAAGCGATATTTCAAACGAGATGGATTCCAAGGAAATATACAGAGTCGTCAAACATCTGAGTTGCCACACGGCCGTGTTGGATTTGTGTCACCCAACCCAGATAGGGGTGTGGACTGAAGAAGTCTTTGATGGTCTGCGGAAGTTCATGGGAAAACTGGCTGGTGATTATTGGACATTATTGTGCTTCTTTCCGCGGTCTTGCGAGTATACACTTTTCAAGCGAGTTACAAGTTGGGAGATTGACATTCACTTGTCTATTCTAAAGTGGACTCGTCAGCAACAAACGAAGGCGAAACATTTATATAAGGTTGCGAACTTGCCTTTGGAGAACACAGACAGAATGATTGTCATTATGTACTCCAACGATGGGGATTATCACCGCAACACTATTCCCTTGTTTGAAGACATTCCAACAAACACTCCAGCTGCAGATCGCTCATCTGGCGAGCAGGCGGATGACTTATCAGCACTTGTGCGCAGAGAGAGAAGGCCAAAGATGTTGGCTGATGTCGTGGAGAAGAACTTCACGTCCACGAAGTTGAAAATGGCAGGTATGGAGCTAAGGGAGAAATTTGCGTACGAAGGTATGGAAAGGGAGTCAAATGCGATGGTGTAGACATTGGAGCATTTTTGTCCTGCGGATGAGGCGGTTGTTTTCCTGGGAAAAGGTCATGCAGCGTTGATTTGGGAGTTGTTAAAGAGTCACCGTCATTGCATTGTTCTGGAAGGGGAGGGTATGAAGTTCGAGTTTCTCGTTCAATTCGTCACCAAGATGGTCAAGAGTTGACTTTACTTCGCCAACTTTGTTAAGCCGCCTCCTCGACATGATGAAAAGCGTGATCTCATCTACAAAGTTGGTCAAAACATCGTCAACATTTGGGAGTTCTTTTTCGAGACTATGCCACAAAACAGAGGGGAACGTGCATATATCGTCAGAAGGCGAAAAATAGAATCACTTCTGAGGGGGTATCATAAGGCACCGGCGGAGACGGAAGTTGCATTTCTAGACCGTTTGGAGATGATATACTTCGACGGACAAATCGGGGCGTTTACAATCGCAGCTTATGCAACTTGTTTTGGGGAAGGCTTCAATTTTGTGGACTCGGAGGAAGAAAGTGAAAATGGTACTTTGCAAGCGGCTTTCGCAGATGAGAGGCAAAAAGCTTGTAGCTCGGCTTCGCAGAAGATGGGTGCGCCGGGCACATCGTCCGGTTCTGGGGGGGGCTTCGAGTATGACAGTTACAACGGACCAGTTTCAACGGACCAGTTACATGGCGGGCAACACAACAGCGCTATCTTCCGGCGCAGTTCGGGATGATCCGAGGGTGCAGGCAATTCCCTCCCCAGAGGTTATGGCAAGTCTGTCAACACTTGCACATAGCCCGGCTACTGTTTTGGAATTGATACGCTCTCAAACTCCTCAACCACCTCCGTCCCAGCCTTTGGAGTACGAGATTGAAGACATCATCCCTCCGGACATTGCACGGCTTCCTGGACCTGTTGTGTGTCGAGACGATTATACGGTGATGCCTGACAACGTATGGGGTCATCACATTATATGGCACCCCCACCACTTTCAACCTGGATTGGCGAGAGGGAACTGGGTAATGGCTATAAAAGAAGAAGGGGAGTGGCAATTTTGCCTCCACAGACGTATGTCACGATCCAAGTTTGTCACACACGCCAAAAATAAGATTGGCAAGCGACTACTGCGACTTAATCCGAAGGTTTCTCAATCAAGACTGGATGCAAGGACAGACGAAATCTTTCAGGAATTCAAAACATCTCGATGGCTTGAGTATCTGGAAGAGTTTTATGATCGAGAAACAAGTCCAGCTTTTGGATATAATTGGCGTATCGAAGAGGAACTTGAAGACAAAGTTGGGGAAAGGAAAGGAGCGAGCGACGATGAGAGTGGCAAGGGATCAGGATCGAGCGGCGGTGCGCTTGGCAAGGGAACAAGATCAAGTGGTGGTGAACATGGCAAGGGATCGGAACCACGGGGCACTGCCAGTAGCAAGGGTCTGGGACCGAGCGTCGGTGCAAGTGGAAAGCCAATAAGTCATGGTGAACTGCAAAACCACGAAATGTGTCAAGGGCGTCAAGAAACAGAGGGAAAGGTATCAGGACCAAGCGGCGGTGCACATGACAAGGGATCGGGTTCGCCTCTGGGATTAGGACCAAGCAGCGGTGCACATTGCAGGGGATCGGGTTCGCCTCTGGGATTAGGACCAAGCAGCGGTGCACATGGCAGGGGATCGAAAGGCGATGCAAGTGGTCATGATTTGGGAGGAAGCGGCGGTGCAAGCGTCAAGGGCGTAAGTCATGGAGAACTGCCGAAATGTGTCGAGGACGTCCTTCCGGATGACCAAGTTTGGGCGACCACTGTGTTGGCGAGCGAAAGTGTTACTGCGCAAGTGAATAATACTGGTGCACTTGTAGAATTACAGATGTCATTGGATATGCCAGCTGAGAAAGATGAGCATGAAGTCTCTCTGGACATAAAGAATGAAAGCGCGACTGCAGGTGCAAACGAAACTGCCAATGTACAGGCCATCGAAGAGGATGAAGGATATATAGTACTAAGTACACGGGAGCAACATACGCTTGTACAGCCTGAACTTATGGTTGCAAAATCAGAAGCACAACAGTCTGCTAACCTCGTGATATCTATCGACGAATCTCCTTTTACACCATCGCATGGGGTGATAGAAGGTCGTGTTGAACACAAAGCGTTAGTGAGCCACCGAGGTAAGCACATACTTATCTCTAAGGAAATATCTAATACTTTATGCGGATTAGGGGGTACATGCACTCATCTCATAGGAACTAATCTTTTCCCTAGGCTTGCAACCGTGCACTCGATCATGAGAAGAAATGAAGTAGAATATTGTGTATCTCTTATTTGCAATTATGTGGGAAATTGAACTTAAACTCATAATGTTTTGTCTTGTCAATCATTGTCGTTTTATATTGCTAAATATGCAGAGCGACGAAAAGAACTGTGAAAAACGACGCATGTACGTTCGCAAAGGCAGAGTGAGAAGAATATTATTCGTCGTGGCTTGCAAGCCTTATCGACTTTGCCGTTATTGCCCAAAAAAGAGAGAAGAAGACTTACACCCATGACATTTCCATCTATGAAGCCAGCTGCCCTAAGGATGTTTAAAGTTGTTGGAATAAGCCTCAAAGAAGGGAAGAAATTGCATCGCGAAGGTTGCAGTTTATCTATTGTGGATGACAGCTCTGATAGCGAAACAGATAGACAATCAAAAACATGAACTCGAGTCTACGTCGTACATCACATAACGAAAAGTTCGTTTTTGTATGAAGTCTTAGTCGTTCCATTGTTGTTTATATGTGTGTTTGTATGCAGTTCATGACCTCCAAATTCGTTTAGCAACAAAATGTCTCACCGTAGAAGAAAAGGAGTATCTTGACATGATTACAGGCAGCAGCGAAGACAATGA